GACTTTCGAGAGCAGATTAAGTTTCTCAACCGATTCCCGAGAGTGGATCAAGTCCGTCAACCGCAACATTCTAAAAATAGCTGCGGTTCTATGTGAGTCACAAACTATGCGGGAAGGCATCACGTGGTCAGCGTGAAATTTAGTTGCAGAGAAGTTAAATAGAATAGCATCGAAGTTTTAAAGTGTTCTGCCTAAGGTTTCTCATACTGACCATATGAGTTTATACCCTGGCCAGCCAAAGTGGTTGAACACTACCACAAACACCTTAGGTATAAAACCAAAGGTGAGGTCAGAAATAAATATATACATTTGCACTTTATTTAAAGTCTACTACATTGCACTCTAACACTGGTGCGCAACTCACATGATCTGTGATGTTATTTTGCAGGAACATAAGAGAATAGTTCTTTGGAAGCCCGTTTTCGAATTCTGTTGTGATGTTGGACACTTGTGACATACTCGTGCGAAGACAATGCCTCCAAATCATGCAAGAGTTGTGAATTTTCGGATACTGCTCTAGCATAGGAATAATCTCATTTATTCAAGATGGTAGTAGTATACATTCTTATTAATCAGTGGGAACGGTTGATTACTGACTAGGTCAGGTAGTTTTATATACAATCGGGTCGGTAGTCGCCCTTTGCTGGCCGGTACGGGCCGTTTCCACCTAATTTTTGCCAGTTTTAAGAGCCGTTCGAATATTCAAGGTGGGTGGGTATTCTGCACTCTGGTTGGATGAGTGGGGTTTTTTTTCTTCAATTCCTGAGCGAGATTCGGACTTGCGCACAAAGTAAAACTCCACAACTAAAACTGTCGTGTTGGGATACACCGCATATGTACTCTAATGTTATATCTAACATCCATCGTACTATATAATTGAATTGTTCGTCAGCTCTAGTAGGACTTGGCATTCCACTTAAAACAGTAACTGTAGGGTTTGTTTTGTACAATGTAACAATCGCTAAGTCCCAATGTGCGTTTCTATGATTCCATAGGTTCAATATTGAGATCTTTTCGGACACCTGTGCAGGTCCTTTCAGTCGTAAGCTTTCTGCCCTATGATACTTGTGTAGGTCCTTCATTCATATTCTACGTGTATCTGCATCACAGAAACGACCAGCCTGGGTGGATAATTGCGACAAATGGTAGAATATTCCGGATATATGCGAGCCTTTTATTCATTCTCCTGGTTTGCAACATTCTAATACAATGTTTCCCGGCAAGATCTAGTCGCTGATATAAAATGACTTCGGCTATGCCGCAGTACCTATCGCTACATTGGTATCTATCTTGATCATATCCTTTCGTGATACTTGTGTAAGTCCTTCATTCATATTCTATGTGCATCAGCATCACAGAAACGAACATCCTGGAAGGGTAATTGCGACAAATGATGAAATATTCCAGATATAAGCGAGCCTTCTATCCATTCTCCTGGTTTGCAACCTTTTAATATAATATTTCCCGGCAAGATGCAGTCGCTTATATAAAATGACTTCGACTATGCCGCAGTACCTATTGCTACATCGGTATCTTCGTTGATCATCTCCTTTCGCTTCTTTTCTACATGTTCACTTTTTCCACTGCATATTGTACAAAAGGCGGCACTCTCTTTCTCAACAACGTAGATCGATAAAATGTATTTTTGCTAGCCATCAACACTTTAGACTCGCCAAGCGTCTTACTTCCTTTGGCTAGGCGTGCATTGCGGTATGCAATCAGTTTTTCTCTCGTTGGAGCACCCGATGCAAGGATTTGGCCTGATATGTTCGATGTTCTAATTCTTCTGGCACTGCACTGCTAATTATAAGATGAAAAATAGGGGATCAGTCAAAACTGTGCCGAGCTTCATCTTACAGAGAAATGACAATCATTCTCAAATATGTAAAACTCACCTTGATACGTAGTCATTGTCGTTGTTGCTAGCTGTTGTTCTCATTCGACTGGATGTGCATTCCTTTTCTGCACTGATGAAAGAAGAGCCTGTCTCCAAATAATGTACATTTTCGTCAGCAAACACAAGTTTTATGGCCGAAAATGTACTTATAGTCTTTACACTAACTCAAATATAGTCTTTACATTAACTCAAATATCAGAGATATACAGCCTGGAGAATATCCTTTCACTGGTTTTCTTGTCGCATCTCACAGGCGAATTTTCCAAAATCTGTGATCAAGAGGGCGATTTAAACCATAAACTATAAATGTCAGTTTTTGTATTACATGTTGAAAATTTTCGATATCAATTTGATGCGGTTACTGAAATGGTTCACTCCCATACATCCGGCAGAATTAGGGGAGAGAATAAGGAGTAAAATATCTCTCACTTTTTCATATTGCTTGTTAATTTGATGTAGAGAAGCTCTCTCTTGATATTCCCCCGAATCAATCGCTTTTTCCAATTGCGGCATCAGTTTTTCGATACACGTAGTATTGCGTCTTGCATTTTTCCTGCGAACGGATTTTTGTTTTAGTCGTGATCATTAAAAAAAAAGCCCTTGATTCTCTCATCAGCATCGATTCAACGATTTAAAGGAACCGAATAGACATACCTGACAGATGACGTTGATGGAGGTGGCGCATCAGGCGTTGGTATTTTCCGTAGGGGCGAATCCTTGACGGTGTCACTGTTTTGGTCCGCTGAGCGCATCTTCGTTGACGTTTTTTTTTGTCTGTGCGTTTGAGCAGGTGATTCACAACACTTGGAAAATAGCTACACAATATATCACAAGCAACAAACTTAACAAGGCACCATATATAAGAATCAATATGCATATTCTCTGCACGTCGAAGGCCAGAGCTTTGAGACATTTAATGGCGAATACTTGTGTGTAGGCTTAAACGTCGCAGGATACCTTATACTTTTTAGTCTAATTAACTAGAAATCTATATAAATACACTGGTCAATTCAGAAATAAAAAATTTCAAATAAATAATCAGCCCAGATTTAGTCCCTTTTTATATATTTATATATAACTAAAAGCACATACGTTTATGACTAAAAACACATACTTTTATTGATAAAAGTATATGCGTTTCTATTTCTATCCACCTAATGTGCGTATGCCTACCAGTATACTAGTTCACTGTTCAAATATCGAAAGACTGTCCTTTTTACTCACATTATTATAGGTTCGATGTGACAATCTCGTGCCTGCTGTGCCGCCAACGATCAATGGTTACAGGTGACAGCTACATGCTGTACCTGACCCCCCCTTTCATACTTAATGAGTATTATTTTTTCTTCTTTTTAAGAACACTTGTTTTGAAGAGTGTGGCGTGGTGAACTCATGGGCATATTCGAATTGGGCACGCTGTTCGCGACTCCGTCACAGCGTCTTTACATGTCCCGCCTTATACGTAATAATGCTATACCAACTCAACACCTCTCAGAACGAATCTATCAACTGTGTGCAATACAACACGCCCGAAGCTGCGGGTACTCACCGACTCTAAGGTTGCTCGCCGCTATGCCAGAGTGTACAGGGTACTCGCCTGCACTCTAAGTATATAGACATACTTGCCACCTACGACTAAACACTCGTGTTTTAGGGGTTTAGGGTTTGTTTCTTTCCTGATTTTCTTTCCAATGCACTTATAGCAGCTTTGCATCGCGTCGTGTAGTGTTGTTCTTTAGATTTGCTGTATGATGCAACGTAGCATTCTCCTATAATAAAAATACTTCTACTACTTGCAAACTGTTTAGATATCTGACTCGTTCCATGTATGTGTGTCAGCTAGTGTGAAAGCTATGCGCATGCCGTATATCTAACTAATAAACTTAGTTCATGTGGATATCATATATCTTACTAATAAAACTTAATCTATGTACAAGTATTTTCTTAAAACAAACCTATGATATTGTATCATACATTCGTTCGTGCATTTGCCACACGCGCACGCAGAAAGAAGGCAACCCCGGCCAGACATACCATCAACCCAGGCTGCTTTAATCTTGTCCCAGCTGT